ACAACGGGGGAGTGAGGGCATGAGTGGGGGGGAGGGGTAGAGGGTAACGTGGGGATAAGGACACATATGTAATATCTTAATCAATAAAAAAAAAAGAATGAAAACATATTTGAAGAAATAATGACAGAAAACGTCCCCTACCTGCTGAAAGAAATAGACTTCCAAGTCCAGATAGCGCAGAGAACCCCAAACAAAAGGAATCCAAAGAGGACCACACCAAGACACATCATAATTAAAATACCAAGAGCAAAAGACAAAGAGAATGCCCACACTCACAACTTCTGTTCAGGATGGTAGTAGAGATCCTAGCCAGTGAAATAAGGCAAAAAAAAGAAATAAGAGGCATAAAGAAAAGGAAGAAATAAACTGCTTTGTTCTCAGATGTCATGATTGTTTTAAATATAAAATCCAAAAGAATCTCTAAAAATAAAACTACTAGAACTAATAACTGAATTTACTAAGGTCCCAGAATATATATACAACTCAATTATATGTCTATATACCAGTAAGAAAAAAACTGGAGAAAAAGATCACACAAAAAAATAATATTTTTTAAAATACCATTTATAACAGCATCCAAATAACCATAAAATAAATACTTAGGGATAAATTTAACAAAACAGATCCAAAAGCTATGTACTCGAAACTCTAAAATTAGAAAATAGATAAATTAGAAAATCTTATATAACAAAACCCTAATATGCAAGTCGACCAAACTGCAGAACGACCAGTCGCTATGACACACATTGACCACCAGGGGGCAAACGTTCAATGCAGGAGCTGCCCCCTGGTGGTCAGTGCGCTACCACACGGGGAGCGCTGCTCAGCCAGAAGCCAGGCTCACGGCTGGCGAGTGTAGCGGCAATGGTGGGAGCCTCTCCTGCCTCTGCAGCAGCACTAAGGACCCCTTGGGGTCCTGGACTGCAAGAGTGCACAGGCCGGGCTGAGGGACCCCCTCACCCCCGTGCACAAATATCGTGCACTGGGACTCTAGTATCTAAATAATTGAAGAAAGATACTATGCTCATGAATAGGAAGACTCAATATTGTTGAGATATCAATTTTATCCAATTGATCTATAGAATCAACATAACCCCAAACAAAATCCCAGTAGGATATTTTGTAGAAATTGACAAGCAATTTTAAATTATCTGGAGATGTAGTTAAAGCAATTTAGAAAAAAAGGAGCAAGCCAAAACAGTAATCTGTCCAGATTGCAACAGGACTATGAAGAAGAGAGGAATAAAATCCAGATTATCATTATTTTTGCTGGAACTAGTAAGAATGGTCCTCAGATAGGGGGGCAAGGGATGGTGAGGGGGCTGTGGTTAGTCAGAAGGGAATCTAGTATACAGGAAAGCAGTATATTTCAACAAAATTACTTGGAGGTTGGAAATAAATTGTAATATATTTTTATTGATTTCAGATAGAAAGGGAGGGGGGGGAGAGAGAGAGAGAGAGGAAAAAAAACATCTTTACTAATAAAAGGATAATATGCCTCTTGCCTCCTCACTCCAAAGTGTAACCACCACACAGGACAGTGGGTTTTCAAAGTACCATTAGCCCTTGAATAACATGGGGTTGAACTCCGCGGGTCAACTTATATGGGATTTTGTTCAATAAATACTGTAGATGTCTTTTCTCTTCCTTATGATTTTCTTACCATTTTTTTTAGCTTACTTTGTAGTAAGAATACAGCATATAATACAAATACAAAAAATAAAATAAAAAATAAAAGGGTAATATGCTAATTAGACCAGACATCTTCTGGACAAAGCCTCGGTGGCGGGGGCCAAGGCAGAGGTGGTTAGGGGCGACCAGGCCGGCAGGGGAGAGTGGTTAGGGGCAACCAGGCAGGCAGGCAGGTGAGCAGTTAGGAGCCAGTGGTCCTGGACTGTGAGAGGGATGTCCGACTGCCGGTTTAGGCCCGATCCCCGGGATTGGGCCTAAACCGGCAGTTGGACATCCCCTGAGGGTCCTGGATTGGAGAGGGTGCAGGCCAGGCTGAGGGACCTCACACCCCACCCCACCCCCGTGCACAAATTTCATGCACCAGGCCTCTAGTCAATGATAAGAATCATTGATCGGCTGCCTCCTGCATGCCCCCCTACTGGGGATCTAGCTCACAACCCAGGCATGTTCTCTTGACCAGAATCAAACCCAGAACCCTTCAGTCTGCAAGCCAACATTCTATCCACTGAGCCAAACCAACTAGGTCTGGGGCTGGAATATTTTAACCAAGTCTTCAAAGCCAATTTTCAGTTTTTCAATATTAGCAAGCATTGTGCAAAACATCCATTCACATCCCAACCCCTGTCCCCAATAAACCCTATCCTCTGATATTCACCTGTCCTTAACCCCAATCTTATCTGTTTGATGGTGGGGTAGGAGGTGTAATGGCCACTGTAATGAGAAGGTATCCTTTTTAAAATATTTTTTTATTGATTTTCAGAGAGTGAGGAAGGGAGAGGGACAGAGAGAGAAACATCCATGTGAGAGTGAAAAATCAATCAGCTTCCTCCCACACATTGATCGATTGCCTCCTGCACACCCCCAACTGAGGACTGAGCCTGCAACCCAAGCATGAGCCCCAAACAGGAGTTGAACCAGCAACCCTCTGGTGCATGGGAGGATACCCAGCCAACTGAACTACACCAGTCAGGGATCAAGAAGGTATCTTAAGACCAAAAAATGATGCAGGCAACTTCACAGAATATAACACAATATATTATAGGGTCATTCCCTTAAGTGATGTAGGGTCAGAGGGACAACAACCCAGCAATCTGCATAGATTATTCTCCACTAACAGGCTCCTGTTACAGTACTTGTTTTATAGTGTAACTCAGGTACTAATGATTGACAAGACAAAAGGACAAAGAATGCAGTGCATGCTAGGAGTCATACCTCCTCGTGGTCTTATGATAGATGATTGTTCATCATAAATACTATCACCATTTTTACATTTATATTTATCCCAGTTGTTGTGCCATTCCCACTCTTACTAACAAAAACATTTAAGGCTACATTGTGTAAGTTTAAGGAACACAGATAATCATGCTTGCTAATGGCAATAACATTGGTTAGAGATTACAACATGAAAACTTAGAGATGAAAGAAATCCGGGATACAGAGATGGAGTTAGTTTTGCTCACATCCACATTTATACACTGTCCCTAACTCTCTGCCATCTCTGACCCCTCCCCCTGACTCCTCTCCTAAGATGCACCCCATCCCTGATCTCAGCACCATCCTGAACATTGAGCTCCTCCCTGAGGTGAACTCTCTGCCTGACCTTCACTAGGTATCTAATCCTTATCCTATCTAGTGATCGAAATACCAGTCTTTTATATTTTAACTAGGGGCCCAGTGCACGAATTCATGCACCTTGAAAGGAACTGTGGGCGCGAGGCTGAGGTAGGCACAGGGGCGGGTCTCAGCCCATCCTCCGTGCCCCCACCTGGCCCCTCCCACCACAGCCCTCCCCCCACACACACTCCTCCCCCCGTCTCCTGTCTGCTGACAGCCCCACTCCCACCGCTGCCCTTCCCACATGCTGATGGCGCCAGCCCCGCTCACACCCACTGAAGGAATGGAGCAATTGGGGCCGGTGCCAGCAGCGGGTGCAAGAGGGGCCAGTGCAGTCAGCAGGTGCGAGCAGAGGCTTCCAGCCCCAATCACCCCTCAGGAGCAGGGGGAGGTGAAGAAGCCCTGAGGGGCGATTAGGGCCAGCAGCCACCGATGATGGTGCCAAGCGATTGGGGCTGGCGCTGGGCACTGGCAGTGAGTGTAAGTGGTGGCTCCAGCGCCAGCAGTGGGTGCAAGCAGAGCCGGTGCCAGCAGCAGGTGTGAGCACCAGGTGGGACCATGGCATGTGGGAGCAAATAATTTTCAGTAACTACCAGAGGCTCGCCCCGATGACAGCGACTGGCGCCCCTGCTCACCTGCTCCACCATCCCACTACAGCCTACGCCCACTATGTTCTGCACACGCCCCCTGGTGGTCATCACACGTTATAGTGACCAGTTGTTCGGTTGTTCCGCTGTTTGGTCTATTTGCATATTAGCCTTTTATTATATAGGATATGCTATGTTATTTCAGTACCAATATCCTGGCATTTTTACAGATCCAAAATCAAAACCTTTTATGTCTTGAGCTATACCCAGAGAATTACACATTGCATTAACAAATCTAACTGAATAATGGTGTACTTGTTTGAAGACAGTTCTGACACCACCCCTCTCCTTATTGCTATTTGATTCCCTCTTCTCAATTACTAATGAGGCCAAGCGTCTTCTCAAATGTGTATTTCTATTTCCCCAGGTCCAATATTAACTTACTGAAGCCCCTGATGAAGTTGTCTTTGGGATGGAGGAAGTTGAGCATTCGGGGATACAGTAGGGAAGGTGGGAAGAGGATTCAGGGATGGAAGGAGAAGAAAGGGAGATTCCCAGGGCCAGTTCCCAGCCTTCCTTCCTGGATTCTTTCTGCATTCTTCTATCATCTCCTCTTAGTCAAATCCAGCTCTTAGGGATTGAGCCCCTAACTCCTTCCTCACCATCCTATTTGGAGAGTCTCAAGCTAAGGCAGGCAGAAGCACCTCCATCCTGGTCCTGGAAGAGCATCTTAGACAATACTCTAGAGAGGATGGTGATGGCTTTTTCTTCCAGCCACTAACTGGACTAAATAGCAGTGGCTACTGTTGTAGTCACTAACCCACCCTAGCCATTCACTCTATTTCTGACACTTCTCCCTGAGACTCACCAACCCCCACATTCATCCCATTCCTAACCCTCCTTCCATATCTGCTCCCAATGCCATCTTGAACCTCCCTAAATCTCACTCACATCATTGCCAACCTTTCCCTATTTCTGAATCTCTCCCTATACTCTGACCCTCCACCTTATCCCAAGTTGCCACACCATCCCTGGCTCCCCCCTTTGACTCTAACCTCAACCCTGACCCTAATCCCAACCTTGATCTAAATCCCATTCCTAAATCCCCTCCAGCAGCGAGGGTCTTAGAGGATAGTAGAAGTGTTCCTTGAAGAAGATCCAACAAAGTAAGACCTGCTCTCCTTGGCCAAGAATTCCTTGCTGATCAGGCCATGGATGGCCATGATCTTGAGGAGTCCATGGCAAAACTTCTGACCAATGAAGGCGTAGATGAGGGGATTGAGGCAGCTGTGAAGGAAGCCCAGAATCTCGGTGGCATCCAGGGCCCGACCAATGTCATTTCGGCGACCACAGCTATCCTTGATCATCCCGATCCTCAGAAGGGTGTCTGACAACAGGACCAGGTTGTAGGGCAGCCAGCAGAGCAGGAAGACAAGCACGACAGCAAAGATGACCCGCATGGCCCGGTGCTTTGCCCTATGTGGGCCTGAAACAGTGTGCACAGGGTGAGCCCATAGCAGAACAGCATGACCAGCAGTGGCAGAAGGAAGCCAATGGTCTGGGGCAGGGCCCGCATCACCATGCACCATTTAGTTGAATTGTCACTCAGGTCTGCCGGAAGCCAGTCCATCCTTGCTGCTTGACACCGTCGCTGCAGGGAAGAAACATCTGCACAGCATATGTTTCAAGGGACCTGGCGTATATGGCATACTGTTCTTAATACAGTGGGGCCTTGACTTACGAGTTTAATTCGTTTTGTGATGGAGTTCATAACTCAAATTACTCGTATGTCAAATCACTGTGACGTTCGCTGCGCCAACTAGTGGTGGGGTATCTGAAGCTGGCTCGTAACCCAAATTTTTTTGAGCTTGCAACTCAAAGCAAAAAATCAGCCGAGAGATGGCTCGTGTCTCAAAAAAACTCGTTAGTCGGGACACTCGTAAGTCAAGGCCCCACTGTATGTTTGCTTCCCTTCTTAGCGCTACGTGTTTTAACCAAGGTCACCTCTCCGAGAAAGGTTGTTTTCCCAGGT